TTCATTGCAAATGCAGGACTGCAAAGGACTCCGGAACTTTTACACTGACACTTTTATAGAGTTAGAACTGTGGTGTATCTGGCACAGGGCCCTCCCTGCAGGAAATAGGGCCTTAAATAATCATTCATTCTTTTCGGTGTCCTTTACATCCTTCATAGCTGTCATCTCGCCGGCTTTATTGGACAGAATTTATCACAAACTACAAAAATCTCCCATAGAATGAGAAATATTTGATTACTTTAAAGTTGGAGTGTGGCCCAAATTTGAGAGAGAGGAGGAAGTGTATGTTGTGTCACTGACAACGTTATGCCAGCTGTGATATTCATCCTCAGATTCATGGCTCTGTGTCCACTCTGTCTGTCCTCTGTGACAAATCTCCTACTTAAGCAGACAGTTTTTTGGCCAATGCCTTTGAGGTGATTTTAATGTTAAAAGCATTTTCATTTTTCATGAGATGACAAAACTGAACAAATGCCACCAGGAAATGAATAAAACAGCTTTATTCAGCCTGGTAAAAAAGAAGAAGAAAAAAAAAAAGGGTATCCAAGTAAGTAGTATACTGAACTTTTTTCTGAAAACAACAACAATCTATTTAGTAATATCCTCAATCTTAATTCAAAGCAAGACAAGGAAAAAAATCCATCTCAGTATCCTCTGGCGCCCCCTGAAGGGAAAATACTGACATTTCAAATTACTTCAATACAGTGAGTGTATCCAGAGTTTAGAAAGAGAATATCAGAAAAACACCTTTCATTAGATTGATTTCTTGTTTACATTCTAAATATATGGTAAATGCAGTGTTGGGAAGGTTACTTTGGAAATGTAATAGGTTACAGATTACAAGTTACCCTATTTAAAATGTAATAGTAGTGTAACTTTTTCAATTACTTTATTAAAGTAATGTAACTGATTACTTTTGATTACTTTTTGATTACTTTTATAAATTTCTAATGAATGTTTATTTGCAACTGTTAATAATGTTCAAACACCTACAGTTTTGATTCAAGTGTACTGACCTACTTTTGATTTATTCGTCCAAAATGTGGCATATTCTGTCCGCGTTAGGCTATATTAGGAATTCCGTTTTTATGACTGGATTCTACGAACCGGTCTGTGTTTTCCGCATCACGGAAATTATAGGGCAGTAGGCTATGTCTCAGAGTAGTCAGTGCAATTTGGGAAATAAATCAATTAAATCTGTATGTGGATGTGTGTAAATATTCAAATGTAATCCCCTTTGTAATCGTTAACATTTTCATAAGTAACTGTAATTTAATTACACATTTTTTCTTAGTAACTGTAACTGATTACAGTTACATTTATTTTGTAATTAAATTACGTAACGCCGTTACATGTAACTAGTTACTCCCCAACACTGGGTAAATGGCTGGTTGTTCAACTATGAGACTTGTATGTCCTTATGTATATGTTTTGTTATATATGGAAGGTAATTTCTTCCACAATAAATAAATAAATAACGCAAGCTTTGGTAAATCATAATAAAGTCATATTATGAGATACTAAGTCATATTTATGGGATAAGCCATAATTATAACATACCAAGTCAAAATTATGAGATAAAAGGTGAAATTATGACAAAGTTGTCACATTATGACATTTTTATGTCAGAATTATGGCTTTTATTTAATATTTATGACTTAGTATTTCATAATTTATACTTATGTCATTATTACGATTTACCAAATAATTATTTGGCCTTCCATATTTATATGAAAATATCTAAATAAATGCAAATTTCTAAATGTAATTACGTTACAGAACTCTTTTACCATGTATGTATATCATTTTGATACTGGTCAAATGAATATATTTGATTATTTTACCCATGTCCCAGACCTAGACATTCAATCAATAAATAAGAAAAATTACTTTTAGAAATATTAATCACAATTTTAGAACATTTACAATCGTTTATAATCGAGTGAAACAAACCATTTCATTGCTTATTCTGATCTATATATATATATATATATTTTTTTTTTTTGTGAAAAGTGTGATTTAACAGAGTTAACAAGCACCCTTAGTTGAAGAAACACCCAAATAGTTGACAGAATTATCTAGGTGCACTGCTACAAACAACAACAACAACACAAAACAAATAAAAATCTATCTTTCATATCTATAAAAAAAACCCTGATATGTGAAGGAAAATAAAATGAGCATCTCGTTGTGCCTTTAAAATTAAATAAATACATAAATAAATAATAAACAGCATAAAAAACAGACAAGATATATGACTGTCACACCTCTGACCTCAAGGTCAAACTAGGTAATTGTACGTATCAGTAATTGTGCCCTGCGATTTCACAGGCATTTCCAATCAATGTCACAGGGTCTAGCCTGAGTGTACTCACTTTGACAGGTGATCTATCGGCCTGTCTTCAGGCTTCAGAGGACCCAGGTGTAACATTTACCCCATGAATTTTAATCCCAGAATCAAATATTTATCATCAGAGAGCAATGAATGAGAGAGCTGGTGACCTGACATGTCTTCTATCGGTTTCCCTCTCTCTCTGTCTCTCCAGATTCATCATTTGAGGTATTAATTTGTTAACCTCCCACTGGGTCATTATAAAGGAATCAAAATGAGAGAAGCTTACAACCACCCACATACAGTAATTATTCAGACTGAGAGCAAACATGTGAAAAGATTGAAGTGCACGAGCAGAAAGTCCCACTCACTCTGGCAATATGATTCACGTGCTGCAGAGTGCGGGGGAGAGCAGAGACAGAGACGGAAAGAAAGGTCTCAATAAAAAGAGAAAAGTGGAGAGATATTGAGAAGGAGAGCTAGGTGTCGCAGCGATGATTAATTCAGCTGTGTTGTACGTACAGAGAGAGCCAGACTGCTCTTTAGACAGTGGGGAATCTATCTATCTATCTATCTATCATCTATCTATCTATCTATCTATCTATCTATCTATCAATATAACCATTTATCCACCCATCTAACCATTTATCTACCAATGTCTGTCTACCCACCTACCTACCCATCTATATATCTACCCATCCATCTGTCTGTATGTTTGTGTACCTACTGATTTACTCGCCTACCTATTTATCTACCCATCATCTACCAATATTACCTACCCATTTATCTACTCATCTACCCATATTACTATTCATCTACTCATTTATCTACCCATCTACCCATATCACTATTCATCGACTCATTTATCCACCTATTTGTCTGTCCACCTATAATCTACCCATTTAACCATTTATCTACCCATCTGTCTGTCTACCCACCAACTACCTAACTAAATTACATTTATCTACCCATCTACCTACCATCCATCCATGTCTGTATGTTTGTCTGTCTACCCATCTATCCACCTACCTAACCATTTATCGACACATCTACCCATATAACAGTTTATCTACCATCTACCCATATAACAGTTTATCTACCTACCCATTCATCCATCAGTCTGTATGTTTGTCTGTCTAGTCATCTACCCACCCACCTAACCATCTATCTACCTATCCATCCATCCATGAAAATATCTCCCTAAATAAATAAACAATACTAACATAGAAAATCACTTTGTCATGCTGTTGAGAATGCAGTTAGGGAATGTATGATAAAATACAGCTTCAAAAAAAAATACAAAAAATTAAAATACACAGCATTGCTTAGATATTAAGCCTGGTTGCAATTTCCTGGAAATACAGTATAAATGATTTATTAGTCGACAGAAATAGAACTTACTCACAACAGACAGTTTGCACCTTGCATGAGATGTTTTCTAAATTTATACATTGTGTCTCATGATTTTATCAGATATGCAGCATTTACACAGAAATGTACCCTGAGGCACTTTCACATGACAAAACCTCTATTTCACGATTAAAAGTGTGTCACACTCAAAGGCACACATACTAGCAAGATAAACTAAATATATGATCTTTACATTAACTCTCCCCCTTGACGGTTAGATTACTGTTTTCTAGGTCACAGAAGCGTGTTCATTTCTTCTTTTGCTCAGAGGGGAACATTGTCATTCTCACCACTAAATGGGTCACGGTAAAGAAGAGGTTTAGCTAATCCTCACATTGCACAATAAACAACTTCCCCTATAAACATATTTGGTAGCTCGTAAGGCACAAATTGATGTCAACAATCTCAAATTGTCTAAATCACCTGTAATCATCTAATACCATCAGATAAAGTAATTAAACTCAAATAATTGAACAAATGATTTAAAATAGATGACAAATAATGACATGTACCCCCTTATACATATTAATTATAAAAGGGGCAAAAAATGAATAGCATAGCAAAGAAGCAAAGAATAGAACATAATAAGAATATAAGACTAGAGCTACACTTAGACCTTTTACAGGGTTTTTTCCTGCATTTCATTCCCACCCCCATTCGGAATGCTGAATCCCTGACAATTTTCAAGCCACAGCTGAAAACTCGTCTCTTTCGTCAACATTTGACTGCATCCTAAAAAAACAAAAAAAAACAAACAAACAACAAAAAAATGCTTTCTCTTTCCTTAATCCCCCGTCTAGTACTTGCACTAATCTGAACAATGTCTGAAACTTTGTATTTCGAGCAATTCCTGTGATGAATCGCTTGTTGTATTCCTCAATCGTAAGTCACTTTGGATAAAAGTGTCTGCTAAATGAATAAATGTAAATTAATTACACACAGGATGTTGATTTACATCATTCACAACAACGCCAGTTATACTCGAGGCAAAATGAACACAACAATGTATACAAATACTGGCATATGCACAACAACTTCTCACATGGGAAGTGCGTAATTGCTTGAGATACTAAGAAGAAACAGTCGTAGATCAATCTGCAACACGTCTGTGGTTGGGACTTGTTTTGTAAGCATTGTAATATCGGCAATATTGGTTTTCCTGTCCTCTTTTTCCATGGCTGCTGCTGTCCCCGTTTTAGAGCCTGCATCTGATTTGTGATTCTATGATACATGTGCAACTGATCTTATCGCTCATTAGTATATAAGGCCCTGCACTGCTATAGCACACATCTCTGACTGACTGAAATGCGCTGCATTATGTCTCTGCTCACCATCACTCTCATCAGCAGCATTCTTCTAAGCCTGTTTCCTCACACTCCAGCAGCATGTAAGTTTCTTATGGAGACCTTATGGCTTTTTTGCATTGTTTTGGTAATTGCTGTGAATTTGGCTATTTTTTTCTATGTCATTTTAATGGGTACTATTTAGTACATGCAATAAACTGAAGTACTTTATGTGGGTCTATGACTATGACTGTAAGAAATATGTTTTGTGTGATGTCAGATGGGCCGCTGAACTATGCCTGTTGTGTGAAATACACTCGAAATCCTCTGCCCTTCGGTGTGATCAAGGGCTTTATTGAGCAGAGCTCCCTCGAGGTGTGTCGCATAGATGCCATCATGTGAGTCACTGTAATCTGACCGCAGGAATGAGTCAGGGTTCACCCATTTACCCACACAATGTGGTTACACCAAAAGATAAGTTTTAATCATACATTTAAATATATGAGGGCGCACAGTACAAAATACAAAAAATCCCACAGCATTAACACAGACATAAGTGGGGTACAAAAGTCTGATACTACATTGAAAAATCTGTCTTCACTTAATAATAATAAAACTGTTATAATTTTAAAGATGAAAAATGTGTTATTACATGTAAAATGAGAGAACAATTATTTTTTCTAAGTCAAATAGTGATATGTTCTTGCTTCAAAGAGCAAGTCGTGCTCTTTGAATCATTCTCAAATCATGCTAAAGAACATGATCATCAAGCTTTATGCAAACTTGTGCAGTTACTCCCGTTGAAGAAAACTATATAAATAATATATATATAATAAAAATATATAAATTAATTAATAATCCTTAAAAATTCTTGTTATTCTTATTGAGAATATAATTTACAATGAAAACTAAATAATTATATCCACTAAATAAACATTACATAAATATATATACTCTACTGATCAAGCGGTCGGGGTCGATAAGCCTTTTTAGATGTTTTTGAAATACGTTTCTTATGACGCTACACTTATTTGATTTTTTTTAAAAATACAGTAAAAACATTAACAATGTGAAATATTATTACAATTTAAAAATATTTTATTCCTTGTCATGGCAAAACTGAATTTTCAGCAGCCATTACTCCAGTTTTCAGTGTCACAATTCTTCAGATAACAATATTATTATTTTTATTATAGATGCTAAAAACAGATTTTACTTAATATTTTTTTTAAACATTTTCTTTCAGGATGCTTTAAAGAACAAAAAGTTCAAAATAAGAGCATTAGTTTGAAATAGAAATATTTTGTAACACTGTAAATGTTCTTACTGACGTTTGATCAATTTAATGCATCCTTGTTGAATAAAAATAAAGTATTATTAAAATTAAGACTTTTGGCCCCCAATATAATTGTGCAAATAAAGAAACAACTGCCTGTGATGTCCAATAATCACGATAAGCCTCCTTCAGATGAAAGTTTGCCATCATTGCTTTCTAAAATTCTCATGATCTTTCTCTTTAAGCTTTTTCACCAAGAACAACAGGAAGGTATGTGCGAGCGTTGAGGATCAGTGGGTGAGAGCAGCGCTTGCACGTCTGAGGTAAGAAGGACAAAGTGTGTGACATTTAAAACAAGTCACCTCAAATTTGTAGCAAACATACCATGGCCACAAACACTGAGCAGTAAATAATCTGACAAATTGGAATTATTATTGATTTCTTCTTTTATGATGACCAATATAACAAATTACTTGGATTTATATTTTCTTTGCAGGTCCAAAATAACTAAACTGACAGTAAAGGGAACTCCGCGTATCAACACTGCTGGACTGAAACGCACGATTCACACAACCACCAAAAGCCCATGAAGCTTTTGCAAATAATGTGGCTTTAAACATAACATATGCCGGCAGATTCCATTAATTACTGATGCTTATCATCATAGATTATGCTTTAAATTCTATTCTGACTATATCCTTAACAATAATAAAAAAACTGTTTTATACTAACTATATTTTTCTACTTTTATGTATTACAAAATTATAATTCAGTCTGAGATGCTGTACAGATTTGTCTTAAAAAAATACATTAAAACTCATTAAAACTCAAATAAAAAATATTTTTCTCCAGTTGGAAGCGAATAGTTAACAGAACAGATAAATAGAACTACAGTTAACAGTCATTACTTTACAAAAGGATCACTCTGTACTTTAGAACAAACCATAGCATATCTGTGAAAAGGTGTAAGCTTCTGATAAATCTGAGACTAAATTCATAATCTCATCTCTGTCGTCCTCAATTCCGGGAGGCCTGGGTACAGGTGTCCCAATGTTAATATTGTTCATCAGCTAAAAGAAAGAGACAGTGAGTGAAAAAAGATATGAGACAAACATCTAGCAAACAACAGCTATATTCTCCTAACTTCTGATTTGCGCTTATTAAATTATAATGAGACAAACTGTTTTTGATGTTAAAGGATTCAGTAAAAATTCATAATGGAAAAGATGTCCTTCAAGGTATTATTATAACCTGAAGATACTCCTCAAAGTTGATGGCGTTGTACTGACGCGTGTCTACACTGTCAAACATCTCTCTGCGCTGCTCAGAAGAAGTGGCATCTTGAAAGACGTCAAGCATCTCATTGCTGTGCCAGAGTTCACGATGGGATGGTAAAGAAAAAAAGGAGAGTGAGAGAGATTATCAATATTTCATGTATTTATATAATCTGATCTATTAGTGATTTGTAGGGAATTACATCTTGTGATATTAGAGAGTGTGAAATCACTGCTGTTAAGAGATTCATTTGACATTTGTGAACAGATATATGTCAAGGTTGGCCTTTGAAAAATGCATTGGTGGGAAACTATCACTTACAAGGTAGCGTAGTGAAGAAGATAGCCTTGATCTCTGACAAAAACCTCAAACTGGTATCTAAGGTTCAAGATGTCTTTAGATGTCCACTGGGGGTATTTCTCCTTCAACTTTTCAACCACTCCACTCCAGTGACGTCTATATTCTGAAAAACATGTGATTTTCTAAAAAAAAAAGTAATCATCATCACCATGTGGATCGACATTATGCCAGATTCTACGATGAACACCTACAGGAGATTCTAGACATACTTTGGTTTTGTGCAATAAATCATGTACAATAAAACCGAAAGTGCTGCTTTTAGGTAACTGCTGGCAAACTATTAAATGTCCCTCATGTTTCAGAAATTGTAATACTCATACCATAAAACATGGCCACTTCCTTTTTGGAGCGCATATTCTGCCGATGCATGGTTTCACAGAACTTCACATTAATTGCATGACATTCCGCATAAACATCTTCTTTATCAGCTGTAATATCAATAACATCAACTTGTAAGTCATCAAATGTTAAACAAATCTGTAAGCTTACTTACAGTAGGCTACACTTAGCCTACTCTAGCTTTACACTAAGCTGGTGTAGCCTACTGTTGATATTATATTGTTAATAATAATCAATTACTTGTGGTTTACAAATAAGAAAAATAACATTAGAGAAAACCCGTCAGATTAAATTAATGAATAAATGAACTAAATATTTACAACAGTAAAAAAAAAAAAACTAGCTCCGGTCTCCCCAACAGCATATTAAACTTGAGTATCAACGGTTAATTCAGTTTCTCCAGTCACTGACCCTCTATAAGCGTAGAGTCGGGAAGATCGAATATCTCAGGCGGTTTCACCAGTGGAAAAGCAAGAAATGACCCCATTCTCAGCTGTTTGTGGACAATCTGTCAAAATGTTTGTTGTTTGTTTTGATTTGAGAAACCACAGCGAATGATACGTGTACATCTGAAAGAAGAACGCATTTCGAGATCGCGTCCAAGTAACTGCGCGCGCACTTCAAACACGTGACCACGTGACGAGACGTTTTTAATTTGCTCTGATGAACTGTACATGTAAATTAGCGAGTGTGAATGTAATAACTAATGACTCATTAATGAAAGTACATCTCGAAAAATTACAAGCAAGGCTGTTTGAAATAAGGGAGAAACCAAAAATCTACCAAGTTCTTAGAAATGCGTTCATACGGGTTTCATAATACATGTGAATAACATTGAATAGGCCTATTTATAATATTTTCTACCAAATAGATAACAAACAAAATGAATACACATTTAAATCCCCTTAAAATATCACTTTACAGCAGCAAATATAGGCTAATAAGCACAAAAACAAAACGTGTATAAAATGAATGAATTAATGAATAAACAAACAAACATCCCTATTAATTAAACGAACAATTAATAAAAAAAAAATAATACTGATTAATCATGAGTAAATTAAATAGCCTACATCACACAAATAATTTAATAGGCTACCAGAACTCATTACATAAAATGAACTGAAACATCTTCAATGACTAGCCCATAAAAGCACTTAAATTAAATTCTTTACTAATCCCACATAACCGGCATAGACACAAAGCAAACATCTCTCTACATATCAGAGCCTCGGTAGTAGCCTTGTAGGCTATTTATATATATATATATATATATATATATAAAAAATGAAACTGATGGCACCCTACTTACCGTAACCCGCATAATATTTGCGCCTAAACGGTAAATTAAATATTCCTGAAAAAGCTGGCGTTTATCTGGCCGCCTCATGGCAGATATGGAGTATTGAAACGAAAATATCGATTGATTTGGTACAAATAATAGCGGGATTCCCTTATAAATAGCAGAGGTAAGATTGTTAAAGCAGTTTGTTTTTACCTGTTAAACAGGAAGGTGTATAGTACGGTGGCCGAGAAGTGCAGAGCAAATCACAATTCTGAAAACAAAATAACAAATTACAAACGCAAATGCAAGTCTAAAAAACAAAATAACAATTCAGAAAGCACAACAACAATTCAGAAAACATTATAACAAGTCAGAAAACACAATGACAAATTCGAAAACAAAATAACAAGTCAGAAAACACAACGACAAATCCGAAAACAAATTTACAAGTCAGAAAACACAACGACAAATCAGACAAACCGGAAAAGGTAGGTATAGTTTGAGACAGCGCCATTGGTTTGGGATTACTCACCGCTGACTGGACGAGACATCTGTCAATCAACGTATACAGGGAAGAACCAGCCGAAGAACAGCAGAGTCGTGGTAGAAAGTTCGGAGATGGTATTAAAGTAGCTCAGTTTAAATGTATTGTATAAATTGCCCTTACTCTGGAATTAAAAATACGGGGTGTCTATTTACATTTAGTTAAAAGTGGCTGTAAATCATCAGCTCAAGTGGCGCAGATGGATAAACGCTTGTTGTTGGCTT